AGGGCTCATGAGGGAGGGGGGAGCGGGGAGGAAGAGGAAAAAATGAGGAGCTGATGCCAGGAGCTTAAGTGGAGAGCAAATGTTTTGAGAATGATGAGAGCAATGAATGTACAAATGTGCTTTACACAATTGATGTATGTGTAGATTGTGATAAGAATTGTATGAGACCCTAATAAAATGATTTTTTTTAAAGAACCAAAAAAAAATGATGTGGTGACAAATGTACAAATGTGCTTGACATAATGGATGGCTGGATGGCTTGTGATAAGAGTTGGATGAGCCCCCAATAAAATGATTGGAAAAAAAGACAATAAAGCACTAATAACTCTGAAAAAAAGATATGACAAGATAATAATTTGTAAATTATCTAGGGTTCACGGGGGAGGGGGAAGAGGGGAGGGAGGGGAAAATGAGGAGCTGATGCTGGGGCTTGGATGGAGAGCGGATGTTTTGAGAATGATGAGGGCAATGAATGTACAAATGTGCTTTACACAATTGATGTATGTATGGACTGTGATAAGAGTTGTATGAGCCCCCAATAAAACAATTAAAAATAAAACAGAAAAATAGAGTTGATCACAAGGGGAATGGAAAGAAGGGCTGTATGAAGCTGATCTGGTTGGCGTGGGGCAGGGTAAAGAATGGGTTACTAAGGTTGATGGCCGGCGGTGGGGTGGGTGGGAGGGAAGTGGTGGAAAGTAGTGATTAATAAAATTGATCACAGAAGTATCATCACCGACCCAGAACACGCTTTTCTTCCTAAATCCAGGGAAGACTGGCAAAAGTGGGACTGGCCGTGGGTGGGGGGCCGGCAGTGGCCAGGCACATTGTCAGAGACAGAAACGGGAAGTCTGGCGGTCTGGAGACAGGAGACAAACAGCCAGAAAGATAGCAGAACAAATCTGGGCTTTAATCATCAGGCCCACGTGTCCCTACAACACAGAGAGGGCTTTCGAGACCCCCTGAGGGGCTGGTCCTCATGGGTCACCACAGACACCAGGTCTCTTTTGGTTTGCTTCCCAGCCCCTCCCCAAATGCACCCCCGCCCCCAACACCACCACTAATTGCTTCATTTCTCAGGCTAGATGTCTCGATCTGCTCACTTGTAACCTGCACTTGAAACGCAATCAGGGCTCTGCTGCCTTACTCCTCCTCCAACCCTTCCTTCTCCTCCTCCTCCCCCTCCTCCTCCTTCCCCCTGCCCCCCTCCTCCTCCCCCACTCCCCCTTCCCCTCCCCTCCCCCTCCTGCTCCTCGCCAGGTGCCAGAGTGGATTCTGACCCACAGCTGCCCAATGTGTAACAGAAGCAAGCACGGCCAGCCCTGCGCCGTCCTCCCAGCTGCTCCTGGGCCCATGGGGTAGCCGCTGTGTCGTCCATCTCCGGGAGGACCTCCTCTCTCTCGCTGCCCCTCCGCTTGACCAAGCACGACGTCCTCCTCCAGGGCCTGGCCTCTTCCCACACCAGGTCCAAAGTAAGCATTCTGAGTGCAGGGAGGAAAGACAGGAGGGAAGTAGGGGGGAGGGGGGGGAGGCTCACATTAAGGTTTGCTGGGTTATCTAGCATGAAATTTCCAAGAGATGCAGACCAGTCACTTGGTAAAACTCAGTATTCCCTGATAGGGGAAAGGAAGACATATTTCTAAAGTTATCTAAGAATAAAAGAACCTTCCCTCTTCATGATAAACACTATTTATCAAATCTTCTGCTCCCTCAAATGTGATGGTGAAAACCCCCACTGAGGCCGAGACTGACAAGCCCCCTCCCTGCCCCCCAGGGGCTGAGCTTGCTTCCAGAAGTTGTTCAAAGCAATGGTGCCCATAAGCAAACTCAGTCATAAATATTAGTCAGTGATGTCTGAGCAGACCCAGAAAATGCGTGTGTCCACGGCGACCCATGGGAAACAGCCCCTCAGGGAGTCTCAGTGATGCCAACAGGGTAAGGGGACAGGGTGATCAGAGAACCACGGGGCAGACAGACCCTGGGTGAGGAGGCTGGGGACCCAGAGCAGGAACTTAACACCCAGCCACAAGGCCTGGCCCCTCACTGGACCCCAGAGCAGATGGTGAGGGTTGGGAACCGTGAGTCCCTGGGGACAGCTTTCGTTGTAGTACAGGGTGTATAGAGGCTCCTGGTGGCAGGTCGGAGATGATTGGAACCAGTTCCAGAGACTGAGACATGGGCAGGACACAGTGGCCAGGTGTGTCTCGCTGCCCTCACGCTGCAGCCATGAGTAACTCAACACCTCCCCCAGCACCACACCCAAAGGACAGGGCCACGCCCACAGTGCCTGGCTCTCATCTAGAAGCCAGTGATGAGGTGTCCCAGAGCGGTGGGCTGACCCCTGGCAGCAGCGATGGCGTGCAGCATCCATTGTGAGGGTGGCGCAGGGCTGGCAGCGCTGCTTCTGATGACATGGGGTTGCTGAGAGCCAACAGCACCGGCCACAACACCTGAGAGAGCCACAGTGGGGTGCTGGGGACCCCCGCAGCCTCCGTGACAGCCTGCAATAGCAGGGAAGTGCACGTGGTTTGGGGACAAAATGTTAAAATCAAGGCAGAGCCAGGGTGACGTCAGGGAGAGGCCACTGACACGCAGTGAAGACACAGGTCATGTGACACAAGGTCATAGTCACACAGAGGTCACAGACACGGGGTCAATGTCACAGAGGGGTCATGGTCACACTGGAAGTGCAGTAGCAAAGTTCATGCTCTCACAGAGGTCATGGTGACACAGAGTTCATGGTCACACAAAGGTCTTGTGGGAGGGGAGGCTCGGATCTGGGACACTGCCAGAGGCAGGTCCTCCTCTCAGAGTGTCTTCCCCAGTCCCCAGAACTTTCCTCAGTTGAGTGGCTCCGAAGCACCCCATCCTGAATTCCCTCACCCTGATGAGTCCCTGGGACAAGCTGTACGAGGGCAGGTGCCCGCCCTGGATTCAGTCTATGTGCCTGCTAGTGCCGGAGGGAAGGCCTTCACGCTGTGCTTGGTACCAGGGTCGTTTGAGCCCCCATGAGGCCCGGTCTGAGCAGCGGGCACCTTTGCTCCTGAGTGCTGGGCTCTGCAAGTGCTTCATCAATGCCGCCCTCTGCCTGAGACTCCGGACCAGCGGTTCTCAACCTGTGGGTCGTGACCCTTTCACAGGGGTCACCAAGACCATGGGGAAACACAGTTCTTATGTTCTTAGGAACCGAGACACCGCTCCTCTATCTGTCTCCAGGCAGTCCACCCACATGCAGATACACCCACATACACGTGAAGACTGTCACCCATGCTACACCCTGCTTCAAGACAAAATTTCATTGATTTGTAATTAGAAATAAATATTTCACAATATATAACTACATATTGTTTCTGTGACTAGTCACTAGGCTTTAATTATGTTCAATTTATAACAATGAAAATACATCCTGCACATCAGATATTTACATGACGATTCATAACAGTAGCAAATGACAGTGATGAAGTAGCAATGAAAATAATTTTATGGTTGGGGGGGTCACCACCACATGAGGAGCTGTATGAAAGGGTCGCAGCCTTAGGAAGGTTGAGAACCACTGCTCTAGACCAACCTCAGTTCAGATGTTGACACTGTGTCCAATCTTCTTCCGACTGAAGTTGAAGCACAAGAAATCCCACAGCCCCCTCCTGGAGCCCCCTCCTGTATGGGGGGTGGGGCGGGGGCGGCTAGGGGCAACAGCCAACTCCAGACCAGACTGCAGGGAGTGGGCACCTGAACTGTCAGTAACTTACTGCCACCTCGAGCAATGCATGTAGCGTCATTGTGCCTCGGTTTCCCTATCTGGAAAATGGAGCCAGTGCGAGTCTGTCCGGCAGGGGTTGCTGTGCAGACTGGAAGGCCACCTGGAAAATCCGGGAGAGGGGGTCTTCATCTCTGACCCTACCTTCGGCTGCCTGCTCCAAGCCGCCCAGGTTCAGGCCTTACCCAAAGGGCACCATGCAGCTACTGAAGGTGGTGGCCCCTCTGGGTGTAGTGCAGGTCTCCCCTTTCTGTGTTCACAAACCCCCCGGCCCCAAGGTGCATTCTAGAATGTAGACTGGGGCTGGATTCTGGTTCCACAGGGTGAAAACCAAGGCTGGGGCAGCCAGCACCCTTAGGCTCTGCCAGGGCCCCGGCAGGGAGTGTCCAGATCAGGCCACTTCCGGGGGCGCCCCTCCGCAAGTCCTTCCCAGGTCGCCTAGTCGCGCAAGGATGCCCGAGGGAACCCAAGATGCTCGCTGGGGTCCCCGCCCACCGCGCCCTTGAGAGGAACCCCGAGTTTGCGCCACACCCTGCCATCCCGCCCGGGCCTCGGCTGCCCCCGGCGCGCCGCAGCCTTCGCATCTGGTTCGTGTGCGACCCCTTGGGCATCCTGTGTGCCACTGGGACCTGGGGGCTGGTGCTGGGCGTGGCCAGCGCGCTGCTGACCCAGCGACTCATCCCATCTGGGGACGTGGTCTACGGGGCGGCCCATGGCGTCCTCTTCCACCTGCTGGCCTTCCTGGGGCTGGCATCTCACACACGCACCATGATCACCGACCCCGGCTCCGTCCCGCTGGGCCACCCGTTCCGGCTGGGAGCACCCCGCTGCCATCGCTGCGGCGGCGGCAGGCCTGTGCGCGCCCACCACTGCAGCGTGTGTCGGCGCTGTATTCGCAAGATGGACCACCACTGCCCCTGGGTCAACAACTGCGTGGGCGAGGACAACCGCAAGTACTTCGTGCTATTCACCTTCTACATCGGCCTGGCCTCGCTGCACGTGCTCCTGCTGCTCGGCGTCCCCGTCCTACGAGGCTACATGCGCGGTGAGTGGGGCGCCAACAGCTCCTTCTCGGCGCGGGGCTCCGTCATCTTCCTGTTCTTGGTGAGTCTGAAGGGCTTCATTTTCACCTCGGTGATGTTTGGCACCCAGTTGCACGCCATCTGCAAGGACCAGACGAGAATTGAGCTGCTTCAGAGGGCGCCAGGCAGGTGGGGCAAAGGCAGCAAGTGGATGAACTTGAAGGCAGTCTTTGGACACCACTTCTCTGTAGACTGGATCAACCCCTTTGTCTCCCCCCAGCCTCAGAAATCAGATGGGCACCACGATTATGTCTGAGGGCCCCCTCTTAGGAGGGGGCCACTCACACAGGACCCCAGCAACTCGGCCAGTGCTGACCCCTTACAGGTGTGTGAGGACAGAGAGGGCAACTCCTCCACAGTAAACCACCATTGTCCACATCCCTGAGGACACCCCTACTCCGGAGAAATGTTTTAAAGCCTCGGGTTCTGTTCTGGGCAGAAAGGACGCTGTTTGGAAAACAAGGTCTGCCTGTAGAAAGTTCCAGAAAATAAAATCCTCTATCTTTTTTAGGCTCTCGCCCTACTTTCCCGTGAAAAACCATCAGATCCACAACGCTTCCTAATAGAGCACCTCAGTGAGCGCCGAACTTTATTGCGTCTGTTGCCTGTGTCTCCTGACACGATTCTTTGAAAGTCCCCACCCCCACCCCGACCCCCGGGCCACTGTGGGGAGTAAATGGCACAGATAAATGGTGTCTCTGGCTGGTGATGTCCACAGTGAAAATGCTCAGCTGGAAACTGAACGTCGAAGGTTTGAGTCCACCCAACAGCTCCCCTGCAGAAAGGCCTGGTGAGGTAGTTAGTTTATCATCCCAACCTGGCTGATAAACACATGTGGGGTTAATTGAAGGGCGGAGAGATAAATGGCTCGGTGAGCCTCGCCTTTCTAGTTCTCAGGTCTCTTGCTTTGTGATGGTCGGACCAGGGTGCAGCTGCCTTAGCCAGTTCCCTGTTTCAGCTAGCAAGGCTCATTTCCTGCAAGACATCCCCAAGGAGAAGCTGCATGGACCTACCCCGATGCAGCCCTGGGTGCTGGAGCACCCGTGTGGAGGAGACTCCTGCCAGCGCTGAGCTGAGATGCCTACACATTGCCTTGGCTTTCCACCTGCAGTCAGCATCATTGTGCCTATTTTGTGAGATGGAGGAGGATTTTGTGGATTGGTGTCAGACATGTGGGTTAATGAGTTAATGTTGGACTTGTGGGCTTGGACAGCACTGGGTTGGGATGTTTTCTTGATGTGCACTTAACCTTTACATAAAACTCTCTCTTATACATGAGTTTCTGTGGATTTGTTTCTCTAAAGTACCCAGACTAACACACCTGGTCATCTACTTCCCAAAAAACCAGCAACCAAGAGCCCCCTGAGCACAGCCTTCCAGCACGAGTGGAGGCACCATGAGGTGGACGTGGTTGTTCAGAGGAACTCTGTGATGTTGAGCCATCCTTGCACTCAGTAAAACCCAACTCCCCCATGCAGAGCGGCAATTCCTGCTGGATGCTGTGTTAGGCCGGGTTGACCAGAGAAACAAAGCCAGAGACCCGCATGTATGAGTAAGAAGGAGCTGTCTATCAGGAGGCCATATATTTATCAAGAAAACACCCCAGCCCAGTAAAACTCAAGTCCCTAAGTCTGAAACTAGTCCATAAGTCCTTCTTCAGTCTCACACAGCCACATGCAACGATGCGGAATGCAGGCAGATCCCAGGTGAAGAGTCTTGTGGGCCCAATGGTGGTGGACGCATGTCCAGGGCTTGAGCAGGTCTCCACATGAGGGGAGAGGGTGGTTCACAGGACCCTCCCTATGAGGAGGTCATGCCCACAAGGAGGCATCATTGGGTTGTGACCCGACTGACAGACTAGACTCCACCCCTACCATAGAAAGCAAATGTTCAGAAGATGATGACGGCAACATGTGTACAAATATGCTTGATACGATTGATGTATGGATTGTCCTAAGAGCTGTAAGAGCCCCCAATAAAATGATCTTCAACATAAAGAAAGAAAGATAGGAAAAATTGGCTTGATGCACTACAAAAAATAAATCAGAAGCTTTTGCAGCAGCTAGAACAATTCACAACCTTTTAATACTATGACTGCATTAATAAAGTCCAGAATTTCTATGTAAAAAAAAGACCTAGTTCTTCTGCTAGCCAAGCACCATCCAGTGTCTTCACTACACCTTGCGATGGCACCCCCATCGTCGGTGATTGCTTAATGAGGGTGAGTATCGGGCATGACCATGTCAGAAGAATGGATTGTCTTAGATTGGGGCTAACACTAAGTGCAAGCCCGGAAATCCATTCATCTGCCTCTGGACCACCTTGGAGACACCATTGTCATTTTGCATTAGAGAACATTACCAGTCATCCCCCAGGGCATCTCTCCCCTGCCCTCGAACCACTGCTGACTCACACGACCCTACAGGACAGAGTAGAACTGCCCCTGTGGGTTTCTGAGACTTCAAAACCTTTCCCAAAGTGGAAAACCTCATCTTTCTCCTAAGGAGCTGCCTGGTGGTTTCAAACTGCTGACCTGGAAATCAGTAGTCCAATGTCTAACCCACTGGCCACCAGGACTCCATCCACCTGCTGACAGGCAGACTTGAATTCCTCTCCCGTGAGTACGGGGTTCAGCGGAACGACTTGCTTCCAAAGACAGAGTAAGAAAGGAGGGAAAGAGAAACTTCTCATTGGGCAATCCTCCCTGGTACCCCCATAACCCAGCGCTCACGGTTAACATCATCTGTCATCATAGGGCCTCCACAGAGCGAATGAGAAGGCTGTGTACCGCCACCGCTGTCCTCCCCCAGGCCACCCTCTCAGTCCCATCGCAGCAGAGCTTCAGAGGGACCGTCTTCGGACACCAGACCAGTGCCCTTCCAGAGCCGACTCAGGGGACGCCGGAAGACTGAGACATGGCTGGTGAGCAGAAGAGACGTGGGGAACAGAGGGGGCTCTGATCCTGCTTCCTCAGGGAGGCTGTGGCTGGGTTTGCTTCTCACCTTGGGAACGCCCCGGGGTGAGGCTCGGGCCCACGTGGCACAGGAATTCTCAGGACCATCTTTTCGACCTTTCTGAGCATCTAAGAGGAGCCCTGGGGAGGAGTGGGCTACACGCGGAGCTGCTACCCTCAAGGACCACGGTTCAAACCCGCCAGCTGCTCCTCGGGAGGCAGATGAGGCTTTCTGCTTCCATAAAGGTTTAAAGTCTCGAAAGCCCCAAGGAGCCGTTCCACCTGACACCTGTCAGGTGGCCAGGAGTCAGAATCAACGGCGGCAGGGAGTTTGGTACATTTAAAGTCATTCCGAGATCAAGCGTTAAGGGAGGGGGACTCATGAAGCTGGCAGCTAACAGGACAGGGATTCACGTCATGCCAGCACTTGCCTGAGCAGCTTCCAACCACACAAGTTGGCGTCCCCAGCTGGGTTCTCTTGGGAAAACAGGAACCAAGCCCTCTCCTATAGAAATGAAAGAGGTGTTCAGAAACATCAAAAATGTGAATGATTAAGGAGCAACACTCTAGGAAATCCTAGGAAAGATGTCGGAGAGACCTGCCGTGTGTTTTTGATTCCAGATCCAGGAAGCCTCCCCTGTCAGGAGGGAGGCGTCAAACCCACAGGGTTGTGGGAGTCCCCGCAGGAGCAATGCAGGCAGACATCGGGGTCTAAGGCTGTGCCACATGCCCTGCGGCAGGGGTCAGCACCTGACCAAGCTAAAGTCCAGGGCCAAAGCTGCCCACCATGCTCAGAGGGGCCTGCATGTCATGCCCACAGTGTGTGCAGAAGCCAGAGGGCTCATCCGCTCTCTGAGAACTCGTGGGTGCCTGTCTCCGGGTGAACCGCTGGCGGGGCTGACAGGAGAGAGAGCTGGGGGCTGTTTGTTTGTTTGCTTTGGTTTTTTACAATGATTTCATTGGGGGCTCGTACAACTCGTATCACATCCTTATATAAATCCATTGTGTCGAGCACATTTGTACATTTGTTGTCCTCATCATTCTCAAAACATTTGCTTTCTACTTGAGCTCTTGGTATCAGCTCATTTTTCCCTTCCCTCACGAACCCTTGATAATTTATAAATTATTATTATTTTGTCATGTCTTACACTGTCCAACATCTCCCTTTGCCGACTTTTCTGTTGTCTGTCCCCCTGAGAGGGGGTTA